GATTCTCGTGCTTAATTGGAGAATGTTATAATGTGAAAATTGTTATTAGTACAGATGCTGCGAGAAGCTGAGAATCATATTGTATATACCAAACTTCTTGTCTGTGATTTTCTTTAGTAAGAAGGTATTTCAATGCAACAGCTAAAAAAAAATATAATGCAACAGCTCTAAATATGGCTTATTTTTTGCCATGGGTTGATCCTTGTTCTTGATATTTTTGAAGAATCAGAGTTAAACTAATATCTTGTCCTGGAGTACGACTACAAGCAGAGGCGGAGCCAGAAGAAAAATATTACAAAGTATGCTTCCCTTAACTTTCGATGATAGTGGCATTCGAACCCACTTTTGATCATAATGGCGTTCGAACGTCCCACAACTCTAGCATGTGAAAGAGTTTCAATGCCCCTTCCTTATCACTTGGTCATTAATCAATTTTGTTAGGAGCTCACAAGTTAATATATATATATATATATAATTTTCTAATACAATTAATATAAGGTCTAAAAAAAAAACTAATAAATTCGTTCAAATTCGCAAACTCCCGCCTAGCTCCGCCCGAGTAAAAGGACATGACAATCAAGGAACTTTTTGTAGTGTAACAACTTTCTCTACTCCTTCCGTGGAGTATGCACGTGGAAGGTAAAAAGAACGTGACAGGTCTAATTATTTATTCTCTCCGTCTTAATTTATGTGGCATTTTTTGAATTTCAAAATTCAAAAATATCTATCTTTGATCGTAAATTTTGTATATATCTTTTAATTATTTTGAATTGTCAATTATTGTGACTTATAATACTTTTTATATAGTTTACAAATATATAAATTTCATTTCAAAAAATTAAAGATTTCACGCGCAAATTTTCGATCAAACTTAAACAGTTTGACTCTTAAAAATAAAAAATGTCACATAAATTGAGACAGATGGAGTAGATGATATCCTGACCATATCATCTGTAATGACCCGGAAGGTCATTTTTGGAAATTTTAAATATTCGTTTAACTTGAGTTAATTAATCGATAGTTAATG